CTAAATATTTTTATTTTAACTTATTCTTAAAATCACAATTAGATTTATTTATTATTAAAAACCTTCTGAAATATTACACTCTTTGTATATATAGTGGACATATATAACCTAGTGCGGATTTTGAACCAATCTTTCTTGGGGAGATATTCTACATCTACTCAAATAAGAATTGATTCAGCGGTAAACTTTCTTTGAATAATTTCATTAGTTTTTCTTTGATTAACACTTATTGAATTATATTGTTGGAATTATCCTTGAATTTTTATTTAGAAAGAATACATATATATGATTTATGGAAAATGATCTTAGGTCATGTTCGATCAATCTTGAGCTTTAACCATTTCTTTTACAAAATTATATCCTTAGTCAGCCGTGATTGAGCATGCAAAAATATAAATTCTTTTCTTAAAACCCAAGAAATAACCGAGCTAGATAGAAATATACTAAACCTACATTTGCTATCTAATTTTCTTGCACACTCTTCTAAATCAGCAAAATATGAAAAAAAAAAAACAAAAATAGAAAATAAAAAGAAATAAAAGAGCCAAGAAAGTGAAAAATGGAAAAAATAAAAGATGAACCTGCAAAGTCTTTGAAAAGATGAAACGAGGTGTGCCACAATATTTTAGGAAAGATAGCATTTGAACCCCCACTGACGTCACTTCATAAACCTTAACCCGTTGACAACATTACAACCCTAATAAAGTCCTTTTTGATTCTAGAAATCATGCATTTGTACTAACATTAACTATTCTAAAAAGGAAAATATTAATGATATATTTAAAATAATGTTAATATTCTTTTATGAGATTATGTCAAATTTTAATTTTATTTAAATAACCGCTTTTATGATTAACTACATGTGAAATTATTTATTTTGTTAACAATATTCTAATTACATATGGTTTATGAGAGAACAGTCACTATAACATATGTGTTATTTCTGTTGAGTGTATTCTAGGGAAGGATTGACATCAAGACTACCATGAAAGGTGGTAATATTTCGTAAGTGATTTTTAAATAAAGAAATCACTGCACACAAAAGTTTTTATAAATATATAGATAATGTTACAACTAGCGTATGTTACTCTTATAGTGATCAGAAAAGGAAGTATTCTATCAAGACAGAAGGAATATTGATTCAATTGTACTTGTGAAAAATATGGATTATGAATTTCTAACTTCTGACGTTTGTAAGTAGCTTCACTGAAAACCTTCATGAGATAAAACTCATCCACTAAGAATCACCTAGGGGTTTAATAGCTTATTGCATATGCTAAATGCAATCGTCAAAAAATCTACGAAAAATAATTTTACCTCTGATTATATTTTCATTTTGTTATAATTTACTAGGGACTAGTAAATTTTAAGTTGGGGAGTGTGATTAAATCGAATTAGTATAGAAATTAGAATCATTAAATAAGTCAAATTGGTAAGATAAAATAACTAAAAACTGTCAATTATGGTTTATACGTAAATTAGGGTTTTATGTGTATTATGTCTGAAATTTTAGGATTTGATGTGGAATTACCAGAAAATACAAGAAACAATGCGTCAAACCTTAAAAGAGTGAAGGACCAAAGTGTAAATCAACAAAAGAAAGAGTCAACACACAAGAAGATAACCATCCAGCAAGGCATGACTGTCTAGACGGCGGCTCATGCAAACCCTCCACCTTATGCTTCATGAAGTCTATATATAGGCCATGCATGGCCTTGTCTTGAGTTGGTCAGGCATAGAGGAGTTCTTGAGGGAAATCCAACAAGAGAGAAAAGAGAAAAAGAAAGAAAGAAAGAAAGAGAAATCATATATAATCCAGTCCGTCATGCTCTGTATTTCTACAATTCAGTGTTATCTTTCTATTCGAATAGGTGAGCTACCACCAAATTTTTATCATAATTAATAAGAAAGGTAATTGTGTTTCAATTGTTCCTTGTGAAAGAAATATTCGAGTCTGTAGTATAGTTACTGTTGTAATGAAAACACCCGCACTCCTTGCTTATCTGTGGTAATGGGGTGTGAATAGTTACTTATATCCTCTAGTGAGAGGTAAACATATATATAATATTAGTTAACTTCTGCAATTCTTGATGTTTTATTCCTATATATATATATATATGTATGTATTATATACTTCATGCATGATAATATGACGTATATAATTTTGGTGTTGTGCTAGGAATTATGTCATCAGTGAATCATCAACCTGTTGGTTAAATATCTACGGTGTTCCATCGGTATGACTTGACCTCCATCGGAGCACTGAGGATGTTCTACTGATGCATGGTACAAAAAGCTAAATGATCCGCATGAATGACTTGTCCTTCTAGATTATTAGGGTTGTTTAACTTATATATATAACTATCAAATTAATGACCTAAGTAATTCTCATGAATGGCTAGTCATTTTGTATTACTAAAATCGTTTAACTGGTATACATAATAATATTGCCAATTGAATATCTACGGTGTTCCACCAGTATGGCTTGACCTCCAAAGGCACTGAGGATGTTTTATTTGGTACATATATCAAAGATGACTTATTGAGTAATTCAAGTATTCCTCATGAATGGCTTGTCCTTCTGGTTTATTCGGATTAGTCAATTGGTATATCTATAACCAGCTAACCTAAGATGTTGTTGTGTTATGATTTATTACCACCAGCTAACCTAAGAAGTTGTTGTGTTATAGTTTATTATGTATGCACTTACTATCATGGGGTCAATTAAGTAATTCAAGTATTCATCCTGAATGGCTTGTCCTTTTGCTTTACTTGGATTAATCAATTGTCATGAATACCACCAGCTAACCTAAGAATTTGTTGTGTGATGGTTTATATATATCAGACCTACCGATTGACTTGCCAGTAACATGGAAGTTAATTGTTGTAAGGTGACATTTTTAGTATTTAACCAATGTAATGCATATGAGATCCTTAAACTGAAGGGTACTTTTTTACATTATTGTTTCTCCCAATTTTAGCTTAAAACTACCGTTTAATTAGAATAATTATCAATCTAAGCTCACATCACAAGCTATCTAAAGCAATCTAAGTTCAATCAACAACTTCATTATTTTTATTTTATTTCCTAATTATTAAAACTCTTCGTGGGATCGATCTTGGACTTAAACCAAGAAAATAACAATTCGACCACTTATACTTGGGTGTATAATATTAATCAGATCACAAAATAGGTTGAATCAGTACACCAAAAGTGAGTATAACCATTGTGTGTACTTTAAGAAGCTACCAGATGGGTTCATTAGTCACTTATTTTTTTTATGTTGATGACATGCTCATTGCTGCCAAGAGCATGGATGAAATCAATAAGTTGAAATCTCAACTAAGTAAAGAGTTTGAGATGAAGGACTTGGGTTCAGCTAGGAAACTTCTTGGCATGAAAATTTTGAGAGGAATGAAGAAGGGTGGATTGTGCTTGTCACAGTAGATGTACTTGGAAAAGGTACTATCGGTTTGGTATAGAGAACTCAAAGCTTGTGAGTACTCCTTTAGCTGCACAATTTAGTGTCTCAGTAGTTAGGTCTCCAAGTAATAGGGAAGAGTGAGAGTATATGTCTCATATTCCATATGCGAGTGCATTTAGAAATTATGCTAGTGACTTGGACAAGTGAAGGTCTACAACAGACCATGTTTTCACAATAGCCCATGGTCCAGTCAATTGGAATCTATGCTACAACTAACGGTTGCTTTGTAAATGACTAAGGCAAAGTACATGGCAGTGATTGAAGGCAGTCAAGGAGGCTTTATGGCTCTAGGGTTTGATTGGTGATTGGGTATATCACAAAAGCATGTTAGCATCTTTGGTGACAATTAGAGCTCAATTCATTTGGCGAAGCACCAAGTTCATCATGCAAGAACTAAACATATTGATATTCAATTTTACTTTGTTTGTCGGAATATCGACGATGGAGAAATTTCTCTATAGAAAGTTGGCACTAAAGATACAAATGAAATATCAGAGTGATCCTCTTTTATTAGAGTGAGTATTTGTAAGGTTTGAAATAATTGTCTTGTACTCTTATTTTACTCCATAGTGAAAACATCCTATCGTTGTTATTGTGCACGTTGGCAATACCTGAACCACGTAAATTGTTTTGTGTTGTGTGATTATTGTTTTATTTTTTCGCTTGAGTGTGAGTGTCATTATCGATCCCAATTCGATTCTTGAGTAATTTTTGCAACATATTTCATATCATACGAGCATGATTCTTGCTTTTTATTTGTATTTTAGATAATAAAACAACTATTACCTTATTATAATTTGCTTTAAAGTCGTTGGTGAAAATTTGTGTCGATGAAATAAATGCATTCTGCATTTGTAGAGTTGCAAAAAACTCAATTCTTATGTCATCAGTTGTAGATGTAATCAATAAAAGTGAAGATAAAAATTTAGTTGTTTGTAAAAGGAAGTTGAAAAAGATTAAGATGTAGTAAATAACTTCACCAAGAAACTAAAAAAAAGTTAACATCATTGTAAAAATGTCAGTTTATTAGTTGAATTTATTTTGAAAACATCACTTCAAATAATGTTTTTAAGTCAAGTATTAGTTGAAATAACGTTTTTAAGTCAAGTCTTAGAATGACGTTTCGAACAGTTTCAATATTCCTATGTTTGCATTGGAGGCGTCAGCTGAACTCGTGTTTTCAACCTAAATTTGAAAAATATTTTCAAAACAATGTTTTTTTTTTCCTTGAAATATTCTGGTTGGGTAAAAAGCTCAATCAAAGTACATCAGAAAATTTCATGTTTCCCACCAGAAATTGAAAACTAAAAAAGACAAATCTCGTATCATAGCCTCATTCTCCGAAACAGTAAGTATGTTGTTCTACAAGACAACCACGAAATATATACAGTATTAATCATCATGGGGTTCATAAACAAACCCTCTAAACCAACTATAAAAGTCTCAAGTGAAGGAAAATCAATGGCTTCTTCATAACCTTTCTGTGTAGAAAAGCACAAGTGGCCAAAAACATTTCTATGGAGAAAGAACCCAACCTTCAGCTCTAACAAAATTAAAACCCTGGAAAAAGTTGAAATTCCCACTCTTTCTTGGACTTGAAACTGGAGAATCTGACAATGGCTTTTCGGTCCACCTCTTATCAAAGTTGTCAACGCAGTGTTTTCCGGCAACTTCCGGCCGGAAACTTGGGCGGAGTGCCCTTGCCTCCACTTTCTTCCAGTTAATTGCCTTAAACCATTTATGTTTCATTATAGCATCTCTGCCCAGCCGCCTGCTTGGATCCTTTTGAAGCAACCCTTTTAATAAAGAATGTGCTTCACTAGACAAAAACGACGGCAACTTCAGCTTATCTTTCACTATCTTTCTCTGAACTTTTTCCCGATTCCGGTAGGTAAACGGAGGCTTCCCGGTGAGCATTTCGAACAACAAGACTCCGACGCTCCACCAGTCTGTAGCCTGATCATGACCCTTACCCAGAATGATCTCCGGCGACATATATTCTACGGTTCCACAGATGGTGTTTGATCTTGTACTGTTTTCGAACTTTTTGGCCAACCCAAAATCAGTCAATATGGTATGACCCTCTGAATCTAATAGGATGTTTTCAGGCTTAAGATCTCTATGTATTATGCCATTTTCATGAAGATGACACACTGCCGAAACAATCTCGGCGGCGTATATACGCGCCAGATCTTCTCTGAAAAGGCCATGGCGGTGGAGATGGAAAACGAGGTGTCCACCATTGATAAAGTCCATAACGAGGTAAAGTTTTTCTAGGGATTGGAATGAGTATCGAAGCTTGACGATAAAAGGGTGATCAATCTTTGCCAAAATATCCCTCTCGGCTTTGATGTACTCCACATGGTTTTTCTCTATAATCTTGTCCTTTCGAATGACTTTCATTGCGTATATTTCTGATGTGTCTTTCTTTCTCACCTGAAATACTTTTCCAAAGCCCCCCTTCCCAACAAGCTTCATGACCTCAAAGTCTTCGAGCCCTACTGTCCGGACCTTCATGGAAATACCATCGAGTTGAACGGAAGGTTCTCCAACACCAATAGAAGAAAGCACTTGATATTCTTTGATGGACTCATTAATAACCCATTCTGCAAGTTTCTTTGAGTATTCTGTGTCGTCTATGGTGAGATTGTGAAGCTTCAGAGCAGAGAGACCTACCGTTGAATTTGATTGGTTGTGAGTGATCACTGGATGGCCATTGATAAGATCTTCTGATACTCCATTACTAACTTCATTCGGCGGCTGAACTGGTAGAGGACCAAACACATCAGAGAAGTCTACTTCAACTTGATCGGAGGGAACGACATCGGGAGGGTTCACCTGGAATATTGACCGGCAAGAAAAGGGTTTGCACATGAACTGAGAAGAAACAACCATGCTATCAAAGCTGTGTTCAGAGCCCAAATATCAATCAACAATACAGATGATCAATCTCTTCAATGGTTTTCAAGGTGAGTAATATTGAAAACCCTAGTGAATGGTATTTATCAAAACGAACGTATGCAGGAGGAGTTTGGAAGAACTTGGACGTGATATGCAAATCAAAACCTAGAAAAAGAGGGAGTTTTTCTTCCCCAGTGATATGAAAATGAGGGATGACACAATGGTTCTTGACTGAAGGAAGATGGGGTTATCAAATCTGAGGATTGTAGAGAACTCGAAGTAGAAGAGGACTCTTTTAACGCGTTTTAACGAAACTTCACTATTCCTTAGGGTGGTAGTTTGCAAAGAGGATTGTAAGTCTGTAAGGAAATTAATTTCTAGCATCGAAATAATGGCGGTGCCGAATAGCCGAAGCTTCCAATTTTATCTACAATGAAAAGTACGAGTAAATAGATTAGTTTTCAGCATCTAAATAACGGCTGTGCCGAAGTTTCCAATTATATCTACAATTAAAACTAATTAAATTGATTCTGCCAATACAGAAATAAGACTGGAAAGAAAAACATTTTCATCACCTAAAATCTAGCAAAATACCCTTATCTATCCCATAACACCAAGCCATTATATCTCACATTAAGTACATATAATATTAAAATCTAGATCACATATAGCAGGCAGAGCAGAGGCAGCCCAAGACCAACGGGGGCTTAGGCGCAAATTAAAAATGAGGCCCTATTAATATATTAAATAATATTGATTATATATTAATATAAAATATTTAAATATAGTATTTGGGACTATTTTTCTTGCTTATACATCTTTTGATGTGCTTAAAATTTTTTTTATTCAATTGTTAAATCATCACTTATAAATTCATTTATGTTTTCGTTTATTCTAATACCAAATATATCAAATTCTACTTTTGCAAATGGATTACTTTTTTTACTCATTTTCTATTTTGTGTTTTCATGCAAAGTTTTATAATTTCAAATAGACTTCTGATAATTAAACAATTTATAAAAAAGATGAAAAATCTCTCTGATATCTTTAAATTAAATTAAAGCATGAAGATAAGAAACAAAGCAACTTGACAATGTGAAATTAGAATAATAATTCGAATAACTATTGAAATCATACTTTTTATAGCACTCCCTTTTAATCATTTGTTCTACTAAGTCCGGTCCAACCGCTAATACACTTGAAAATCATAAATAATAATAATAACAATAAAGACCTATTATATTCTATAGTGATACCGAACATTTTAGTAGAAAATTCACGAATGGTGTATTCTATGTCCAACACCCCAACTTGAAAGTAATATCATATATTTTTCATGTGATTAAATAAAGCAATGAATGAAAAAGTATTTAATAGAAATAAAATTAGTTCATCCGTTTATAAATATCTGTCATTTAAGGTTTTTGTACATGAATTAATATGAGTAAAAAATAATTACACAAAACTAAAATACCATTATTCAATACGTATTAAGAAGGAAATAAATATGAAAGACATTTAACTTTTACCTAATTTAATGCATTAAAAAGTTAAGAGTAAATTTGAAAGAAAAAATATTAATTATATTTTGATTTTATTAAACGATAGATATTATAAAATAAAAAAATTATATAAAATAACATATATTTAAAAACGGAGGGAGTACAAGACAACTACACGGCAAATTTTGCCTACGGATACACAGAGAGAAAGAGAGAAATAAAGTTGTCCATTCATGATTCCAAGGGAGTCTATTACACGTCATTAGGCTCCTACCAAAAAACTTGGGCTAATTACATTTCTGCCCATTTATGATCTCAAGGGCATATATAATGCAGAGGGGCCCAAAATGATCTCCAGTGCATTTTGGTACAAATATTTTTTTTGGGCCCTAAAATTTGGGGCTCTAAGCAGGCTCCTTAATGACCTAGCGCAAGGGCTGGCCCTGGGCAGGAGCAGGGCAAAAGCTAGAGTGGGAGGGCAAAAATAAAAAAATTCAAAAAAAATATTAAAGTGAGAACCCCTAAAAAATGTCATATTATATACATAAAAATATGTTTACATGTATAAAATTTAATAAAATTATAATTTAAAAAATTAAATTTCATACACAAATATATTATAAATTATTTAAATTTTGTTACTATTAATTTGACTTATAAATCTCACACAAAAACAATATGATGAATGATAAAAAAAAATCCTTTGAAAGCATTTACCTTGAAGTCTCATCTAGAGGTAACAATCTTAACTCATTACCCATTAATCTGTCCAACCCGGTCATAAATTAATGGGTTAAGTAATATCATTCATTTTAATTAAACAGGTGAATATGGATTACAAATGGATACCCATTGGGTTGATTATTTATTTTTTTATTAAATAACACAAGTAATAAAATTAAATAAATATACTAATGTACCAAAAAATACACACACGCTATTACACCAAAAAATACACACATATATACTAATACACCAAAACCTACACACACTTGTACACCAAAAATACACTAATACACCACCCATGACCCACGACTTGCCCTACGACCCATTACCCCTATGGGTTGACCCATAGCCCACAATCACTCCGACCCATTATTTGTGTATTGTTTTTATTAAATGTATTTTAGTTTTTGTGTTAGTATATGAGGTGAAGGCTACCTTTAGTTTAGGGCGAGTTTGGGTGACTAAGAATCTGCCCCTAACCATTTGGAAGGTGAGGTCCTTGAATATTTTGGTCTTGTCTCCTTTTTCTTTCTAACCTAACTCTCTTCCTTTCTTCTTTATCTTGCCATCCTTACCACCAGTCTTTCCTACACTTCTCTAGGTGATAAAAAGGCTCATAAGGAGCATATTCAGGCCCCGTATTCTTAATTGGAAACAAGAGATGCCAAGCTAATGAAGGCTTGGGAGGATGTTTTGAGGCTCATGAAAGAGGCTGAGAAGACCCTGAGCCACGTCTTTGCTACTTAAAAGGACCAGGATAAGGCTTTGAAGGCCAAAAATGAGTTGTTAGCTAAGCTAAATAACTCTATAGTGGAGTCCACCGAGCTATCAAGGAGATGGAAGAGGAGAAAGAAGCACTTTCTTAAAAAAATCTGTGACCTTTCCTTGAAGGTGGAACAATAAGAGCTTGAACTTTAGTCAGTTAGGGGGGCTGTTAAAACAAAGTATGAGGACATCAAGGATTTCAAAGTGGTCCTTGAACACTATGTGAATGGCTTTAAGGATTTTAGTAAGCATGCTTAGAAGAAATTTTTGAATTTAGACTTCTCCAAATTCACTTCAAGATATGATGAAACAACGGTGGCTAGTGGGGGTAAAAAGGAAGAGGATGGAGAAAAGGTAAACAATAAGCCTCCAAGAGATAAGGAGGAGAGGATAGGTGTCAAGGAAACTATTGAGGAGCTACCCGAGCTGGTTGAGGAAATTGTGGGGATATTACCGACCCGACTAAGGAAAATAACAGATGAAGTGCGAGGGGGCTGGTGGAGATCTTGACTCATCCAAGTTGTTTGACTGATGAATGCATAATATTGCATATTTAAAGGCCTCATTACATGCATTTTAACTCAACTTTGCATTTAATTATTTAGATTTAGTTGAATTTATGAATAATGTGGAAATTTTGATGTTGTAGGTAATCATAGAGTAAATGATGGCTTTCGAAACCTGGCAACTAAGTGTGGATGGGTGGTGAAGAGAATGACACATTAAATGGGGATTAGGACGCTTTAAAGCAAAAGAAATCAAGGAGACAACAATGCTTGGTATCATAGGTACCGGTAACTAAGCCTATTGAAATTTTAGTACCGGCACCCACACCATTTGGTATAGGTATCTCAGTATTTTCCATTTTTTTTTATCATGATCCACTTTGAATTTAAAAAAGTTCAAAACATGAAAGTTGTAGACCTAGATGTCTCCTATCTTTTGTAAGAATTTGAGCTTAATTGGAAGGTGAAATCAAAAGTTATAACAAATCTACAAAAATACCTACCAGTAAAGACATGCAAGACCTACTGGTAGAAGACATGCAAAACCTATCGGTAGAAGGCCCTACTGGAAAATACCTACCAGCAAATTTTTACGTTCTACCAGTAGAACTTGCCCAGAAAGCCCAAACACATCGCCACACGACTCCACCTACTCCGGAGGCCCACCTCTTGACCTCTAAACCATATCCTGACATGTTTGACACCCCATGATGCTATCCTAACCCCTAAAGTCAGATTTCAAGTGAGACAGAGAGGGGAAGAAAGAGAGAGAAGAAGGGTGGTTGGAAAAACATGGGAGGAGCATGCTTGGCCTATTTTTGCTTGTTCAAGTGTCCAACCTCTCCCAACTCATTGCAACTCAGTTCACACAGGCTAAGGGAAGGGGGATGGAAAAAAAATTACCAAGTGTTACACCATTTTCAGATTTACACAAGCTTTTAGAGAGAGAGGCTCAGTGAAGAAGATGAAGTTTTAGAGATAGAAAGTTGAGTTTTTACATTTCCTTCACTATTTTCATTGTAGTAAGCTTTAGATTACTGGTAATCCTTCCCTCTTTCACTTTGAACTCTTTTATTTAAGTTGTAATCAAGATTAGTTAAGTTTTCTAGCATTTATATTTCTACATTTGGATATTTTGTCTTCAAGGTATCAATACTTTACTCTTGTAGTTTAAACCTTTTCTTGAATGAATACAAGTTTCATGCTTTAGTTTATTACCATGCCTCTTAAAATTATGTTTGTTCTTGCATTTACTATGAGTAGCTAGACTTTTAGTTGGCTAATCCAAGTGGAATTTCCTCTTGGGTATGTGAAATCAAATCTTTTTCTTTTTTCCTTGTAGTGCAAAGTGTTTGATTTGACTAGGTTAAGTGCGGATGTGGTCATGGGCTCATGATAGATCGTAGACTTATCACAGGGTATGCTTTTGTCCAACACATCCTCATTAGTCTCTCACTTCCTACGAATCAATCAAACATTGAGACACCATTGGTTG